GTTGCGGATGTTAAGCAAATTTATTTGATAGGCTGTTAAACTCGCATCGTTCGAGCGTCATTGTGACCATAAATCTTTGTTACAGAACAAACCGAAACCAACAAAAAACAAAACAGAGAAAAAACTGTTTAAATCCTTCTATCCAGCGCGAACGAGTTTTTCCTTAAATTGTCCTCCGCGCTCGTTTAACCCATCTTTTTTATTGTTTTCCCAGGTTTATCTTCAAAAAATTGTCACGGTCGTCCGGCTTATCTCGGCGACCGTCCGGGGACCGTTTTAAATAAAAAATGTCTCCGCGAAATTCGGGGCACGTCGACGGGGAAAGGGAGCGAGGAAGATGGCCCAGGTTCGTGATAAGAAATTCGAACGTGGTATTCTGGATCTTCGGCGATTCTTCCGCTTTGAATTTATCGGATCTTACGCACAATTTTCTTGCTGATCGAACGGGAATGTTTGGTTATTTTTAATGGGGATTTTAAGTCTTTATGATTAGACGTTTTAGATAATCTTATGGGCGACGATGTTTTGAATCATTAAAATCTTTATCAAACTTTCCTGTATATCTTTGAACTTCTTATTAAATCTAACATAATTAACTAGCTCCTAACGTTGCATAAAGAAAAGCAAAAAGGCTCAACTCAATTTTGTATAATAAATTCTATTGATCAAACCGCATCAGACTTAACAGTAAGATTAATGTTTGTTCATGAATGGGAATAAATTGAACCTTATTAAACCACATTAACTCCTTGCACTCAGAAATTTCTCACTAGAAATGTTTAACATTTTGACGAGGCGAAGGCGATGTTCCTTGAAACTAACTCGAAAGGAAATTACAAGTACATTGAGGAAGGAAGGTGTTTTATTCCAATATTTCACGTATCAAAATATTATACTAAGTTCAACATTAAAAATCAGATTTTATAGTTATACCGAATCGACATCGAATCAAGTGGTGACTGAGAGTCGTCTTCCGAGTGCAAGGGTTAAATTCAATATGATTAACTTTTTTCCATGAATTAGAATCTTTTACGGCCACGTTTTAAATGGCGCCAATTTTGTGCTGATAGGTAATCGAATCGGAGTAAACTTAATATTTCATTGGAAGTTTCCGAATGGAATGTACATGCCACGAAAACCCGAAAGAACTCGGGAGTGTCGAATCGAAATGGATCCCGACTCGAGGAAAGGAAAATACAGATATAAGGTGAACGTTCTATACGTGGCATACCTTTGGCTGAAAATCGGAATTCGACGAGGAATCCTCGTATCCGTCGTCGCCCTCGTTCTCGTCGTTCAAGTAAGCGCCGGCGTCCCCGATGTTCCCGCCTCTGAAGTTCTCGGCAAGATATTCCTCTGTAACAACATCGAACCGAACACTCGAAAACGCATATCTAAAAGGGCGCACGAAAATGCATCCGAATTGTTGCTTTTCCGTCGAACGCAATTCGATTGTCGAACAAGCCGGCAACTTCGAACCGTGCCGCAATAGCGACGCGGAAAAATATTTCGTCGCTGCCCCAATGAACCGCGAACCTCTATTTCGCGGTAAAAAAGATGGAAGTAAATGTCCCCGATTTTATTCGGTCGGGGTTGACGCGCGTAACCGGAAATAAACGGTAAAGAAACGATCACGGACAATGAAAAAGCCCTGCCCTTTGTTGCCCGTCATTTAAAAAAGAATCGCCGACACTGCGAACGATCAAATATTTTTTAACGGCCTGTATAAATGTAACGCAATGTTTGAATTGTTGTTGACTCGTTTGGAAATTGTCGAACGATAAAAGATTTCATTTTCCAATACTGAAATTCGCTGCGATAAAAATGACGAGGGGAAGTCTAAATATTTGTAACGTTTAGAGGGGAGAGTTGGTACAAACTTTTCACGATCTATTGATGACGATTCCATGATGGTTGAATAATTTAGTAACTCTGGAAACCAGTATAATAACGACGGGAAATGGAAAATTTCCCGTTGCAGCGAGAGCTTCACTACAAAAACGCAGCGCTGGCCAGGCATTCGTTCTAATTGCAAGAAGTTCACGCGTTTATCGAGTAATTGACTCGAATTTCCTCGAAAACAAAGTTTCGTACGGAACAATTTTATTTCGTGCTTTTACCTCGTATTTCCGCGTGCGCGAATTACGCGGCACACAGATACATTATACGGAGCACACATATATCACGCTTCAGCCGTGCCATCGAGTGTTACAGCGATACAGTTTTAATAAAATTTTAATCGAAATTTTATTTTCCCGAAATAATGGCTGGTCGTCGCGCGGCTGGGACGGGTCTCGATGCTGCTAACTATGAAATAAAACGCTCACGATATATATCAAATTTTTATGTCCGTTCACGGTAATAATAGTAAATGGCTCGCGCCGTTGAAAACGTTGGGGCAAATGAAAACCGAATTTAATGGACCGATGATTTACGTTACGCCGCGCAGTTACAGATCGTTAATATTTCCGTGGGATTTGCCACGATTGAAAGAAATTGTAACGGGAATGGCCGCCCGCGCTGCACAATTAAATCGTTCTTTAAATCAAATTCCTCGACTTGGCCAAGTGAACGTATCCATCGCGTAAAAGGTGGCTGCTGCTTCTTTATGACAGAGCGCACCTCGATTGAAAAATTATAAAAAAAAAATATTATAGCGTTCCCCAGTATTTCTATGACACGACATTTAAACAGAGTAATCCTCATATAACAAATTAAAAATTCCAGAGTTCTAAGCATTTCTATATGGAAGATTTGCAAATATTAAACATTAACGTAATATCTCATAAAAAGTAAATATTCCAAAGTTAAATGTTGAAAAGTTCAATATTCCAAAGCTAAATATCTCAAAATCCAATATATCAAAGCCAAATATCTCAAAGTTCAATATTCCAAAGCTAAATATCTCAAAGCTACATACTTGTAACAAACTATTGAAATCAAAACTAAATCAATGAACCAATAAATCTCAACAAACTCAGATGCCAAAGGATCCATCGATTATAGAAGACGCGTACGGAGAATCTATTCGCGGAGAGATAACGAAAAAATTCGGGCAGCTCGATGAACTCGTCGAAAATCTTTCCGATGAACAGATACGATTGCGAAGTCGTTTGCCACGGCTCGCCAACCGGAAAACCGAATGGCGAAAAGTGCTAGGTGGCGCGGAAATTCCAGCGACGGACGTTTCCCGTAACAATGGGCGAGAAAGTTTAACGGGCTCCCGGATGCCGAGGAGACAGGACAAACTCGGGGCGAGCGTGTAAGCAGAGCGACCCACTTGGATTTTGCGCGATGTCGAGAGCCTCGTTCCTTTCGAGGTCCACGTTGTTGATCTTCTGCGATGCGTTATTGCTCTCCAGGAAGCAAGTGAGCTTCTCCAGCGCGTCCCGCAGGTTTGTGTTCTTCGTCTCGTTCCTTAGACCCCATATCCATGCCAGCTTGCAGTCGCAGATCAGTTCGTTGCCTGAAACCAAAAGGTCCATGTTTGATCAGGCGAAGTTCATTGTGGACGGGATTCTTGTTTGCTGTTTGCCTACTACTTTTTCGGGACTATTATTGTACTCGGGGTGAATACATGAGCGTTCACTTCATTTTACTGGGGATACACAGATTTACTCGAGCATTACTTTTTTCATTATTCTCTTATTATTTCTATCGTCGATTGATTTGTCCTTCTCGATTTAAAGTATTACCTTTATAATTTCTGTTCTCATTCTGCATCGATCGATTCTTCGAATCGTATCAATGGTTTCAATATTATTTTAATAAAGTGTTTTCTAACTATTTTACAGTGTTCTTGATTTGGTAAATAGCAACCTTTCTTCGCAGTAAGAACAAAATAATTATACAACGGTAATTGAAAGAATATTTATATAGTTAGTCGGATCGTGTAGCTGAGAAATAGCTAGTTGTTTATGTCCATTTGAAAAAGTTAAGTAATTGGAGGGATGTTCGAAGAATTTGATGCTTCAAGCGGTATTCTCTCGGTAGAGGGCAACGGAACTCCCGAGCGCTAATTCCAGAGATAATAGTTTAAGGTATTTAAATTCTATTCCCGAATGTACACGGGTCTACGAGAGCAGAAAGGGAAATGGGGAATAACTACGAGGGTGGATGATGGCGGTGGAGGCGAGGTTTCGTAAACAGGGGAAGAAACAGGGGCAGTTTTTACTGAATTGAAGATTAGAAAGGGTTGTTCTACCACTGACGGAGTTCATTAACCGCGCGGAGGAACGTGGAAATATTTATTATGAAGTCGAGCGAGGTGGGGATGGAACATCAAGGGGGTGTTCCTTTCAGACGGCGTCGTTAAATATATATACGCGAAATAAACTGTGATGCGATTTTTTAGGGCGAGCAAAGGGGTGAACTTGAAGATTGAGAAATTAAATCTCAAAAAAAATTAATTCTATCATTCGTTGACTTCGAATATTTATTATTATGTATTATCCTCTGAAGTGTAAAACAATCTTTCATTGATACACCAAAATTGACAATCTTTAATAATAGAAATATGCAATATTTTAGTATTTCAAATTCTACTCACATTCGTAGCAGTGAAGAGTAATTTTAATACTTAACACGTTCCGTGCCACGGAAACTTCGGTTGTATTTTGCTTATGAATTGTATTGATTTTTTCAATAAAACAGTAAATTATATTCAGGTTTTTGGTAATTTTTATGTATTTAGATATTGTTTCTTTATGTTTTCGATGGTTTGTAACATACATCCGTGACCATGTATCCATTAGAAATATTTTCTTACAAAAATTCGCATGTACCATATGTGGTACGGATTAATATTCAATTATCTAGTAAATTGTAGACATTTACAAATATTTTGATCAACGATTTGAAACACGGTAGGAACGTACGGTAGGAACGTACGTTAGTTGTAACTCGTTTTTCCATCTAAAGTATCTACGATTACGAAAGTGCTGCGCGAGAGTCTACGATCCTAAGGTCCGATAGAGGGTTCAATTACAGGTTAATTCTGCTTCACGAACCGGAGACTTATACGGAGCCCTTTCAGCGAGCAGCGAATTTTGCAGACGTCCGCGGAAAACCGGGCTGGTTTCGTTTTTCTTCTGGCCGGCCACAGCCGCCACTAAAATCTCTCACGGTTTTTAGCGTGACTTTCTTCTCGCCCCGGCGATCGAACAATCCTCCCTCCACTCGAGACAAGCTTTCGCAGCAAAGTGAAAGCTGGCGAATTAATTGAAAACTCGAATAGCCTACTAACTCAAGCTGCTTTCTGCCGATTAATGAGACACGGCTGTTAAGTAGTGGCTTTAGAAATTGTTTTAATCGTTCTTGTTTCTTTGAAACTGCCCGGGGCGGTTTCAGAAACGAGAATGCACACTTACATCTTAAAGTCTGCAGACATCTGAGAAATTAATATTATATCTGACAATGTATGTAGCGAATTCTGCTCTTAATATCTAGTGCGGAATATTACCAACAACAGCTACAAAAACAATGTTCGTCGTACTTTACAGAACCAAGCAAGAACCATATTCCACAAACCAAAAATAAAGAAAAAATTAATAAAACCTTGCGGACTTATTAAATTACGAAACGTAACAATATTAACACTAGATTCACGAAACGAGCCAATTTCAGTCCTATTGACTTTTATAAATATTATTTGCTTTGGGTCAATTTTGGTTGATTGTGATTTCCAAAATCGAAACGAATATCAATTTCTCTAAATGCGATAGAATGGACTGCACAATAAATGTCTGTAAGTCTAGCGTTAACCCTCTACGGGCCAAATTTTTGTTCGTGACTATAACAAAATGTATGCAGTATAAAATCCATAAATATCATTTTATGAATACAGATTAACAATGTATTCAATAGCCTTAATAATTTTATTAAAACGAATATATTATGTAACTTTGAAGTTACAATAACGTTGAACGTTTACACCTGTGAGTATAAAAGTATAATTATTTAATATAATTCGTCATTTTGCGGTCAAAAATTAAATAAATCAATTTAACCCAGCATATTAATGTGTAACTTCAAAGTTACATTGGCCTATAACAGAGGGTTAAAAAGATACGTATAAAGAAAAAGAAACAAGCTTCAATGCTTCAGTGAACATCCTGCAAGAACATCAAAGCATCGCCGATTCCCACTGTTTAATAAAGAAAACCAATCTGACTAGCGAAGAGTTTGAACCGTCTCCAGCTGAATAATACAGCGACAGGCTCGATGGACTGTCGCGATGGCCGCGTTGCGCGCCGGCCCGTGTTGCGACCATTTTAATTAATTGTTTAATAATGTATTCCGTGGCGCCAGGGTCAACACGTCGCCTTCCCTTTCCCGTCCCAGGTGACCCTCAGAAATTCATGCGATTGCGGTGTGTCGCATGTCGTCACGACGGGGTGGCCACGTATACGAGTGAACGTAGCCGAAAGCTCGCGCGAGACCGGCTCTCCGAGTTTTCCCGTGTTTCTACGGCTTCTTTGTGCCGGTCTCGCCTCGACTTCCGTTACGTTGTTTCCGGCTCGAAGTTCAGACTCGGACGGCTCTATCGACGACACGGGAATTTTCTCGCCTTCCCCGGGATCCTTTTTCTTCGCGATGGCCGATTTTTCATTAAAAGGGCTGCGACAACGAACCTAACGTTTTTCACGTTTCCGGTGTATCTTCTGGATATTCCTATATGGAGCGTGTTCGAAATTGTAGTGGAATCCAGGAAAAAAACCTATGTGTAAAAATAATTTGGACATAAAGAATTTAAGTTTCTTATAGGAAACTTAATGGTAAGTTACAAACGAATATATTAACCAATGTCTATTAGGTAATAAGTACTCTGTTGAATAATGCTTTCTATGAAATGATACTATCGAATACAAAGCGTTACAGAATGTTAATGCATATTTTCTACTTAGTTCTTCACACAGAATAATGTTATTCCCGATGGTACCATGATTTTAGACACACCCTGTATACACTGTCCGCAATTCTGCATTAAATCGTCCTTTCATCTAAGGAAGGATCAGCTAGGAAAACCTGAGGGGTGAATCCACTGGCAAATCCGAAACAAAACCTCTCTCAGCTATCTTTCTGCTAGAACGGTCTCTCCTGCCATCATTAACATATTACAACCATTACAAAACAAAGGAATTACACAAGAGGATCGCACGAGTCCTATGTCCGAGATGGGACGTTCGTTGGTCCTTAACCGTCCGTTTCCGCGAGCGATCGTTCTGGGTCCCACCGCGGTGACACCGGTTACACGTGAGGTATTTTCGCACGGACCGTATCTAATTTTCCGGAAAATCTAACCTCGCCCCGCGCGCCGGTTCAATTAAAGTGGTACCAACACGTAATGGTCCCCGTGGCCGAGATCAAGGGGACGGAACGCGATGGGATGGGAGAAAGGGGTCCGCCTTTTGTCAGCGGAAATGTGATATCGCGTCGATACGGGGGTTCCTTTGCACTCGATTCTGCCGGTCTTCGGACAAGCTTTGGAAATTGCATCGTTCGCTCGGGATCGTTGGAAATTTGAGCAATGAAAGGTCGGGGAATTGGCGAAAAACTGGTTTTCGACTGCGAGATTTGCAGGAACGCTTCCTTGTTAGTCTACTTGGTCTTAATATTCATTACCGTTATTCCTTCATCCTATGTAACATGGACAGTATTGAAAATAAAAAAAATACTACGGAAGTCCTGTTGAAATGAAATAAATATTAAGCATACAGTAATGCTTCGCTAGTTCACCGAATTTAACTTCTATAACATCGACACCCAACTATTTTCATACGCGACACATGTTAACAGAAACAATCTAACTAAACGAACAAAATATTAAAAGTACAGTGGCACCTGGTTACTAGATCATCATTTAACCCTCGCTGAAATTCAATAACCATTCTTCTTCTCACAGGACAATAAGACGAAACACAAAAAGCAAGAAAATCATGTATAGTGCCGATCAACAATCGAGGCATTACCGTGATTCAACGTTTCGGCACCGCGACGCGCACTCCGCCAAGTGTTCACCGCTGACAATGAGCTCGTCTTCGCTCGCCGCGGATTCCCCACCGAAAAGATAACGCCGGTTGTTTCATTTTCGATTCAGTGGAGAAGGATTAGCGGAAGACAACACCCGGCCCGCGCCACGGCTTGCGCGCGCGCGCGCGCCTTACAAGCGTAATGGATACGAGAGCGTGGCGATTGTTGCGTGGACAATGGCGCTTAGCAATTATTTTAAAGCGGCGCTGGAAACAATGAGAGCGCCGCGTACACAGTAACTCGCTCCATATTCCAGCTTTGAGGCTCATAATGGCTCATAATAACGGGGAGGAGCGGTGACTAAAGACGAGCCAAGACAGACAACTGTCCCTGTCCCTTCAATCTCCATTTATCATGCTCTCATTGTTCCCACGGCGCGGCTGGATCTGGTTAATTCGCGTCCTACAGCTTGGCCACTCCGAAAGACACGAGACA